GATGCTTTTGTAATGTTCCGTCTTCTGCCGTGTAGTTATTCTGGCGACGACGTAAGGCTCTACCGTTTTGTTTTGGTTCGTCGGGTGTCTCCGAAATTGCTACGGTGGCTCACTTCGATGCGTGATCCCACTATTTCCACGCGTGATCCGGTGTTTCGTTCCTGTTCTTATGATGCCTTGTCCATTAAGCATGTGCATAAAGCCAGTCCGCGGCGAGTGCGCTAGCTGTAAGGTCCCGTATGACGCGCTTCTCAGGTGTTTGCGTAGGACCAACGTCGGCCTCGCACCAGCCGCCGCGCCCCGCGCGGGCCGCCCGCCTCGCCCGTGCGTGCCCGCCCGGTGTGTCTCATGACCACCGCGCTGTCGGCCGGCGGACGAGGCGGTGTCGCGCCGGCCGCGACCGCGCCTGTATCGATCGGTGCCCGGCCGGCGGGGGTGGGGTCCGCCGGCCTGCGCCACCTGCCGGCCAGCCGGCCGGCGTCGGTCGCGCCTCGGCCGCCCGGCGGCGGCACGGCGGCGGCACGGCCCTTTTGTACCGCAGTGTCTGCTTGTACTGGCCGCCACACCGCCGCCGAACCTGAATAAATAACCTCTGTCGTTCATAGGATCGCGTTTACTCGAACTGACATGTTGCCCTTGAGGAGCTCAAAATTGGCGCCGCCGAGGTAAGTGACACCGGCCGCCGGCGCCGCGCGCGCGGCCAGCCGGGACGCATGCCGCGTCTGCATCCTCGGGCCGCGCTCTCGCCCGCCCGCCCTCTGTTGGTTTGAGTGAACGCGATTCTATCGCGGCCGCGCGGTCGCTCGGTCCGTCCGGCGGTCTCTGGGGGTCGGCTGACGGCTGAGCCGCCCCGAGAGGTCAGGTCGGGCCGGGCGGCCGGCCGTCCGCTCCCGCTCCCTCTCCTGCCCGCCGCCACCTTGACGCAGGTGCGGCGTCCTGTGTGCGCCGTCGCCTCTCTGCTGGCCTGTCGCTGGGCGGGCACGCACCTCTCTGTGGGCTTAGCGGCCGTTGCGCGGCGGTAGCTGGCGCGTCGGAACCCTAAAACTGCATCTGACCTTTGTTGTGGCTCGACGCGGTAGTACTGATGTTTGTGCGGTGTTTCGCCACTTGCTTGCATTTTGTTTTGTGTTATTTTTGGACGGCTGTGAGAGGCGCCGTGCGTACTCATCGGTGTGCATGGCATTATGCTGTTTATTTTGCGGTGACTAGTGTCCTTGTTTTACGGTGACTAGCGTCCATGGTGTCTGTCTGGCCTCTGGCCGAGGGATCACCAAAGTGAGCTGCGATTAGCTGGTATCTGGCGCCGGTATCACGCACATGAGGCGTCATTAACACCTCGTCACTGATCAGCCGTGCTCGACTTCGGACACGATCGCTGTGTTCCATCACGTTTATCCACAATCTGCCTCATTCGTTGTCACTTCTCCGTTTGCACGGCGCTGCGCAGCTGTCATCGATCTGCAGCTCTGGGCTCGTCCCCGCCCTCACCTCACACCTGGCCTCGCCTGACACCTGGCGCGCGCCTGTTTCAGAGGCGGTGGTCGAGCCGGCGCCGCGCGTGGTGGTGCGAGCTCCCGCCCCGCGCGAGTTCGACCCGCTCCAGCCGAGCCCCGAGGCGACGCCGCAGGGCTCGCACCCGAACGGCGCCGGCGACGCGGCCTTCGGCGGAGGCGCCGAGCAGCCGGTCCAGCAGCAGCCGCAGGCCTTCCAGCGCGAGCCACCGCCGGCACCGCAGCAGCAGCCGGCCTTCCAGCCAGAGCAGCCGGCGCAGGAACAGCAGTCACCGCCGGCTGAGGAGCAGCAGTACCAGGAGTCACAGCAGCCGCAGCCGCCTCAGCAGCCGCCGCAGCAGCACCAGCACCACCAACACCAACAGCAGCAGCAGCAGCAGCAGCAACAGCAGTACGGCGAGTACGCGGTCCAGCAGGCGTCGACCGCCAGCCAACAGCCGGCCATGGCGCAGCAGGGGCAGCAGCAGGACCCGCAGCAGCAGCACTACCAGCAGCAGGCGCAGCAGCACCAGCAGCAGCTGCAGCAGCAGGCACAGCAACAGCTGAGCCACCAGTACCCAGGCGGCTACCTGACGCCGGCCGCGCAGCAGCTGATCCAGCAGCAGCGGCTGCCCACGGCCATCACGCCGGTCGGCATGGGCGCCGCCATCATCCAGACGCCAGCCCACTCTGTCGGACCGTGAGTGACCGGAGCGGGGCTGCCTCTCCGGGAAGGGCAAGGGTACCAGCTCACAGAGTGGCAAGGAGACCGCACCGACCGACCAACCGACCGCCCTGGAAATGGTCTGGCTCTCTGTCTTTTGCTGCTCCCGGGGTCGCGTCGAGCGTTCGGTCTCTGTTCGGTGTCGATCGACGTGTTGACTGCTCACTTTTGCATATGTTGAACACTGAAGTATAGACGTGTTTGAAGCTGAGATGGAAGATAAAGCCTTGCACCGGACGGTGCGGTCTGCATCCGAGTCCGCATGTCCGCCTGTGTCGCCTCCGCTGTGAAGGCTGTCGCGTGCTCATGCCGGTCCGGTCGTCTCTCAGCAGCATTCGCGCCCCACGCTGTCAGGTCAGCCGTGCGTCCCGTGCCGCCAGGTACCCGGGCGCCGACACGATCAACATGGCGCGCCACCAGCAGCCGGCGCACAGCAGCGCGCACAGCTACGCCGGGTACGGCGGCGGCCAGCAGCCGCCGCACCACCAGCCGGCGGCCGGCTTCCCGCGCGCCGGCTCCCCGAACCCGTACAGCCGCGGCCCGGCCGCCGGCGGCTACGCCCGGCCCGGCGCCGCCTTCGGCTACCCGCAGCAGCAGCAGCAGCGCGGCCAGCAGCAGCCTCAGCAGCGTGGAGGACAGCTGCCGCAGCAGCAGCAGCAACGGGGAGGACAGCCGCAGCAGCAGCAGCAGCGCGGAGGGCAGCAGCAGCAGCAGCAGCAGCGTCCACGCTAGGGCTGCGACTGCGTCCGGTGCCAAGCATTCTCCGGGGGCGAGGCTCAGTCGCCCGACCAGCCGTCACCAGGCGGCGCCGCGTGACTCTCGGGGTCCGCTGGGGCTGCCGCTGGCTTCAGAGGCCCGGCCTTGGTCGCCGTGGCTGTGGGGTCGGAGCAAGCAGCGTCGACGAGGGGCGGGGGCCTCGACTCAGGTTATGGGATGGCGGCATCCCATCAGGTCGTGGACCGACGTCGCGTCAGGCGCGGCTGCTTGTCTTGCAGCCGATATTCTGAGCTGGTTTGCATCCTACGGTATTCGCGGGCCTTTCGCGTGTCGACGGCCTACAGGTCGTCGAACCTCACGCTGATTGCCGTCTGTCTGCTTTTAACCTTCTCTGAAAAGTCGGACGCCCCTCGCGTTGGCCGGGGCTTTACGTGTGCGCGTTTGGGCGATGTTCCAAGAGTGCTGACTACAGGCGCGTTACGGCAGCGCCTCTCGGCCGTCACGCGTTCCGGCTTGGCATTGTCATGTGATCACCCGCCCGAGTGTCACGTGCGCTCGTCACCGCCCGCGGAGTGGGCATTTCCGTTCCTGTGTTTATGCGTGTCGCCGTTTTAGTGTGCCGCCTGGGGCTGTCGTCTGTGTCGGGGACGGATGCGCCCGGTCCGACACTGCTCCCCTGCCCGCGCTGTCCGGAGAGGGGCGGTCCCGTCACAGGGCGCCGGGGGCGTGGCCGCCACGAGTGGCGCGTTTTCGTCCGCCGGCCCCAGCAGTGTGACCTGTCGGCGCGCGCGGGAGGTGTGGCAGGGCCGGGGTCGGGGTGGGTGCGTGACTACGATCTCGTCCGCCGGCCCCAGCAGTGTCGGCCAGAGGCGGTGTGGCCGGTCGGCGCGCGCGGGAGGCGTGGCAGGGCCGGGGTCGGGGTGGGTACGTGATTGTACGATCTCGTCCGCCGGCCCCAGCAGTGTCGGCCAGAGGCGGTGTGGCCGGTCGGCGCGCGCGGGGCGTGGTCGGGGTCGGGGTTCGGGTTGGATGCGTGGCTGCGCGAGCGGCTTACCATATATCAATACAATGTATTCGGAGAAGATGAGTTTTTGCTGTCGGCTGACGTAAGGCCTGTGACCTGCGGTGTGGAGAAGCGTGCGTGCAGCTAGGAGCGGGACGGTCGCGAGGTAGAGCTGGGTTTGAAATCCTGATTGTCGGGACCTCGCTATGGACGTAGTCTTGTTGCGACGAACTCGAGGCCCCCGCTACCTCGTGACGTGGCCCGGAACTTTGGACCAAGGCGACCCCAGTCGGCTCCAATGTATGTGGCTTCCTGTTGACAGAAAGCTGGAGCCTGAGCAGAAAAATAGTGTCGATTCGTCTCACTGCTCGTGACCGCTTGGGGTGGATGTCGAGGTGGATCGGCTGTTACGTACCTGACGATTTGGAACTGGAATCACCAGTGGAGTAGGCAACTTGCCTACTGCACGCATAAGACGGATGGTGACGGCCGGCTGGCCGCGGCGTGGTGTCGCGTGGTGAGACGGCGCGGAGGTCAGAGTCGATGCCGCGTTAGTCATGAGATGAGGTGGGCACTGACGGTGAGATGACTTTTGGTCGCTGGCCGGAACTGACCTCAAACCGACCGCAGCCGGCCGTCGGACACTGGACGTGATGTCACTGTCACCCTGCCGTCCACGCTGGCCTTTCCAGCTGGCGGCGGCGGAAGCTTTGTTCAGCGAACGGGCAGATGCAGGGACGAAGAAAACGGGGGGCATTGGCAGAAACATGCTGCAGCCGTGTGCCCGCGGTAATGCGAGCCGCCACCTATCGCGCTCACGACCACTTGTGACGGCGAGAGCGCCAAGCACGCTGCGGTCCGGGAACAGCCAGCGGATTTCGTGCGGGCCGCGTGTCTGGAGCCGCAGCGGGATTTGTGCGGGCGGCGTGGCTGGAGCCGCCCGTGGAGTTCCAGCGGAACGGCGTGTTTGAAGGCAGGCGGCCCTGCAAATATTGACAATGCTCTCCAAACAAGGCAGCTGGCGCCGGTTGTGCAGCAGCCTCAGTGCGGCTGCGTACCCCTGGACGGACGGACGGACCATGGCCACCGCGCTGAGAGTGTGTGTGCTCATCTGCTGTGCCGCCAGCGTCCGAGGCGCAACCTGGTGGGGCAATGGCACCGGCGGCCGACAGGTCAGTAGCGATTCACTGGTGGCCGACAGGTAAGCAGCAACCCGTTGATGGTTGATGGGTCAGCAGTCACACGCTGGTGGTCGACACGTCAGTAATGGCCGTTGATGGCCACCAGGTCAGAAGTAACCCGCTGATGGTTGACAGGTCAGTAGTCACACGCTAATGGTCGACATGTCAGTGGCGACCCGCTGATGGCTGAAAGGTCAGTAGTGATACGGTAATGGTCGACAGGTCAGCAGTGATCCGGTGATGGCCGACAGAGGTCAGTGACTCAGTAGTGAACCACTGGTGACCGACTGACGGGCCACTAACCATCGACAGGTCACTGGTGACGCGCTGCTGACCGTTATAGCAGGCATAGTCAACAAGCAAGTGCGCCACGAAAGCTTGCTTGTCCGCTTCCTCGAGCTGGGGTGCAGTCAAAAGGATGGCACGTGCTTAGAACAGCTTGGCACGTCAATCTTAGTTTCAGGCTAACATCACCTCACCCAGGGGCGCAGCTGCCGTCTGGTCTGGTTTAGGTCAGCCATAACACGAGTGTGCGTACTCGCTCCTGTGCCGTTGCATCGTGACCACCCTGCTCCTCCGGTGCTGCAGGGCTGGCGTCACAGGGTCCCACTGCAGTTGGCCCGGCGGATTCAAGAGGGCGACCTGGTCTCGCTCCTCAGCACCGTGGGCAACCGCCACCCGGCCTTCACCACCTTCATCGCACACGGCAGCAACAGCTCCCGGCCGGGGGGTGCTCTGCTGGGGGCGACGCACACCAACGCCGGTAGGCACGCTGCGCCGGCGCGGCTCGGCGCGGGGGACACGCTGACGGCCACGCGGCACCAAACTCGTGGGTCCGCCGGCGAAACCGGCAGGTGACGTCCAGCTGGCATCCTGGGACAACCAACGGACCTTATTCCAAATGGCGTGTTGAGGCGGGGCTCGTACATTCTCAGACAGCTGCTACCGCAACTTATTTTGCGTCACTACCTCCTGGTTCGCAACAAAGAGACATGTGTCGGTTGCCTGCGCGCGGCCGACTTCGGCGCCTGCGCCGTCGTCGAGCGTCAGCTGACTGTTGAGTCGAACGTCGTCGAGCGTCAGCTCGGCTGTTGAGCCAGCTGTCTGTCTCGGCAGGCCATGCGCCGCTGCACCGGGACCTGAAGGACGTGGCGTCCGAGCGACGGACGGTTATCAGGGACGCCGTCTGTAAGCCGCGCAAGCAGCCGGTGCTGGTGCCACATCCCGACGACCCGCTGGTGCTCTACACACCCTGCCTGCGTCATGGTGCCGCGCTGCTCCGGCTGCTGCAGCCACGAGCTGCTCAAGTGCGTGCCCACCGAGGTCAAGACCATCCGCAAAAAGGTCAGCCACTGGGGCGGCCGCGCGGCGCCGAGGAGCTGGGCCAAACTATGGCCGGCCCATTCTCTGTGAGTTGGATCGTAAATTGGCGCTGAAACACCTTTCGTCTGTTAAAGTTTATTGTAACGATATCATCGACACGATTACAACTACCGTTTCTTCTGACACATCGCCCATACCACGCCGCAGAAAACGTCTTGGGGTCGCCAATGTTCAAAACAAAACATAAGGCCGATTGCGCAGACAATGTCACGAGCGAATGCTACTGCAAGGTCTTTCAGCAACAAAACTGCGTCTTACTTTCATGTGATGTGACTTCCATAGTCAAGGTGTCTGTGAGCAATATCAAACACTAAATAATTTCTACAGGCAAGATGTGCAAATCCAACCAACATCACCAAAGTGCATGGCTGGTACGGGCATGCGCCAATCATCTGTTGCTTCAAAAAGGCTGTTGGTCAGAGCCTTGGTCAAAAAGGGCTCTGGCCTCATTCCTGGGGAGACCAATCGCCGATGAAGTCATTGGTCTTTTGTTTTGTTTCTATGTGCGTAATTATCCACTATCTGACGGGCGTTTTCCTAAGGCATCGTCTGTCAGTAACGCGTAGGTCTGACTTACACTGGCGCAAGTGGGTTACCAAGACCATGCACTGTATCGTAGCGTTTGCGCAGGTTCTGGCCCTCCGATTCTCTGGAGAGGATCAAGTGTCTCTCGCCGATCAAGAATCCAGCGTCAAAAAGGTCAAAATGGAGAAGCACGTCAAGTGTGAATGCCAGTGTAAGGTAAGCCGTTTAACTTACATGGCGATGTAATGAAACATGCATCGTCCTTGTTCCCATGTCCTAGCGTGGTGAACATAGGTGGAGAACTTTAATGATTGCATTGACGGTCGTTATGAAACACACTGATCACCGATGAGTTCGTTCCGCTTATCTGCACTCAACAGTTCTGGCTTACGGGCACCCAGCTCCGCAGCCGATCCCTTCCTGTCAGAGCTGCACCCTCTCCGGCCATGCGTGCTCCGTGCTCCGTGCTCCGGCCGGTCCCATGCCCGCGGCTGCCTCTGGCGGCGCCGGGCGCTCCCCAGCCATCCGCCGCGGCCGGTCTCGTGCCCGCGGCTGCCTCTGACGGCGCCGGGCGCTCCCCAGCCATCCGCCGCGGCCGGTCTCGTGCCCGCGGCTGCCTCTGACGGCGCCGGGCGCTCCCCAGCCATCCGCCGCGGCCGGTCTCATGCCCGCGGCTGCCTCTGACGGCGCCGGGCGCTCCCCAGCCATCCGCCGCGGCCGGTCTCGTGCCCGCGGCTGCCTCTGACGGCGCCGGGCGCTCCCCAGCCATCCGCCGCGGCCGGTCTCATGCCCGCGGCTGCCTCTGGCGGCGCCAGGCGCTCCCCAGCCATCCGCCGCGGCCGGTCTCGTGCCCGCGGCTGCCTCTGACGGCGCCGGGCGCTCCCCAGCCATCCGCCGCGGCCGGTCTCGTGCCCGCGGCTGCCTCTGACGGCGCCGGGCGTTCCCCAGGTGACGGCGGCCGACTGCACGGCCCGCCAGCGGTACGACGCGCCCAACTGCCGCTGCGTGTGCCCGAACGAGCAGCAGGCGTCCGGCTGTCCCGGCACCAAGATCTGGTCCGATGACGACTGCGCCTGCAAGTGCGCCCGCACCGAGGAGTGCTCCACCGGCCTGGCGTTCGACCCCGTCCAGTGCAGGTCGGTGCGCGATGCCGCGCCCTCGGCCGTTCCGGCGGAGCAGGCGTGACCGACATATTCGGTCAGAGGGTGCCTTAAGGCGATGTTGCAAATTTACTGAGGCTGCTTGGTGACAAAAGGGCGCCAATCTCTTTTCGCGATTTTTTTATGAAGTTTCATGACAAGGACGGGAGCATAACGCAAACACAAATCAGCAAAGAAAGCAGTTGTACAGCAGTATTATTAACTGAAGCCCCATGCAACTCGGCGAACTGTCAGGCTCACGTTTCTCCTAAGACGCCGAGTACAGGAGGCGCCCTCTGTTTCAGATGCATGGTAAAGCGTCTGCTCGGCTCGGCCCCTGCTCGCCCGTCTGTCGCCGCCGCCGGCTCCTCGGCGGTGCCACTGCGCGCCGCGTGGTCCACGCTGTCGTGCTCCGCGCTGTCCCTCTCACTCTGTCTTCTCCGCTTCTAGATGTCTCCCCTCCTCCCCGCTGCGACGGCAGACGCTCCTCTTCCGGGCGGAGGCGCCGGCGCCTCGGCCGGCGTCCGCCGGCGGCGTCTCCTCCGGCGGCTGGGGCAGCGGCACCTCCTCCGGCGTGACCGTGGACCGGCCGGCACCCCGCCCGGCTCGGCCGTCCCGCCCGACCCACCCTGCTCGAGGCGACGCAGGCACGACAGCCTCACGGGCAGCGCGTCCGGACTCCGGTCAGGCGGGAGGCGGCCTGCAGAGCGGCGCGGCGAGAGCGGAGGATGCGTACTTCAGCCAGCGCGGCAGCGGAGACGCGGGCTCCGGCCAGCGCAGCGGTGCTGACGCGCGCTACAGCCAGAGGAGCGGTGCAGACCCGTACTACAGCCAGCGAGAACGGAGTTACGGCCAGCGTAGTGGAGGGGAGCCAAGCCAGAGGCAACGTTCCTACACAGATTCGTACTACAACCAGCGTAGCAGGGGAGATACGTACTACAACCCACGCAGCAGGGGAGACCCGAGCTACAGCCAGCGCAGCTCAGACAGCCCGAACTATAGGCAGCGGAGCAATGCAGATTCCTACTACAGCCAGCGTAGCAGGGGAGATCCGTACGACCGGACCCAGCGGAGAAATTATTCTGGATAGCCCCGTATTTTGGGGAGTGTTGAAGAAGCTGGTGGTGGGGGTGAGGATATGAACGGCTACCATTGTCCGTGCGGTTATTTGCTGTAGACTACCATTGCTAGATGTGTTTAAATGTCATGCTTGCAGCGCATCGTGCCTCTTTTCGACGTGGCCTGTGTTCGTACCAATTGATACTAGTTTGGTGCGAAATTAGTTGTTCGGACAACAAGTGCGGTTGGCTATGGCATCTGCTCACTCATCTGGTCCATCGTGGTTTATATGCACACATTGAAAAACAATGTAATTTTTCGCATGTTTATTTACGTCATGACATGTTGTCTCATGTACATAAAATCAGACCACGTTGATGCGACTGAAAGGAGCTTACAGAGGCTACCTCTAAATATATATGTGTAGTTCAGACCGTAATGCGCCAGGTCATTGCAAAAAGCTTTGCCATTTAAATTCTGTGAAAATTTTGTGCAATGCATGTATGTTTTGAAACACGTCAGAAGAGGGTATGTGTATCCCGAAAGCAGATGAAGTATTCGTCATGGAAGTTATTCAGTTTTTTTACGTTTTCGTGTTTAAGAAGAACAGAGATAAGCCTTGCTCGTTGTCACATGTGTGGTGTACCTTTATCTCAACCTTTGACGTCCTCTTCGCATTTGTTCATTATCAAATGTGTTTTGTGTAATGAAACTATCCAGTGTCGAGATGCTGACGAACCTTGCTCATTTTCCGATGAAACGCGCTGTGCAATGTGTCTTTCCGCAGCTTTTAAACATTGTGCTTACATGTGACGACAATACACCATTAACAAGATGACCGCCAGATGGAGAGGGCCCCCGAGCGATGCCCTGGTCCGAGCCGACTCCCCCGCTACAGCCAGCGGTACCATGTGATCGGGGCGTCTCTCATGATCAGGCGGCCGCTCTGCACCGGCCGGTACTTGTGCCACGGCACCTCCGGCGGCGGCGGCAGCGGCAGCGGCGGCGCCGGCAGCACCATCTGCGCCGTCTTCGCCGCCTCCGAGAGCCGGTAGCCGCCGAGAATCCTGCCGCACCAGCTGGTGCAGAGGAGGCGGCGCCGGCCGGGCGCAGGGCCGGACCGCGTCACTGCTCACCAGGCAGAGGCCGGGCGCCGTAGGTCCGCAGAGTCTGCGCCGCCAGCCCGTGTAGAGGCTGAGCACGGCGCAGGCGCCCTTGCCCGGCTCCTCGTCCCAGTTGCTGTAGTTGAACGTCGAGCCGTCCAGCCATGACCTGGGGTTCGGCGTGAGGCCAGGTCACGTCAGGTCAGGTCAGGGGCACGTGAGGCATAGGGCATTCATTTATGGACGGTCGACAATAACAGGCGGTCGACACGCTTTATTTTGGCCCTCTGTCCTCTTAGACTAACACGTGAACGTACAGCTGCGTGTTTTGAGCAAAGTGGGGAGTATATGTACATATAGAGCTTTTTCACTTACATGTCATCTCCGCTTTTACTCCCACGAGCGTGAGGCCGAGAGCTAGAGGTAAATTGTGTATGGCTTTAAACAAAATGCAAATAAAGGCGTGACTCCACGACTGCGGATGGCACGAGTCCTCGTAAAGCTTGGGTGCCATTTTTTTAACTCGCTGCAGAGTTCAGAGTAAAATACGTTGACCGTAATATGTGACAGAACCGTGGCACTTCCGGTGAGGTGCTTATTTGATTATTAACATTGGACGATAACTGGTCATGGATACGGAGGGTTCTCAACTGACACGAGGTTCCCTCTAAAATTGGTTCAAAAAGTCAACGGCATTATATCAAGCACCAAGCGAACAGGATTGGAACACTCCTCCACTAGTTCGCAAGTCCTTGAAACATCATACCGAGGTAAAAAGGTGTTGCCGGTCAAGACAGGATGCCATGACACGGTGTGGAACAAAAAACATGCATACATTCGCAGCCTCGCATGATAACGACCTGGGCCGTGTCAGGACGACGGCAGGACCCTCTACACGAGCGTCAGCCGCCAGCAGGAGGTACACGTACCCCTTCTGGATGGTGGCACCGTCGCCAGGCGCGCCCTGTTTGGCCCTGAAGCCAATCCAGGCCTCGCCGCGCCTGGCGTGCAGCAGCGCAGCGCCGAACGCCGTGTCCAGACTGGCGTTTGACGGCACCGCCAGGCGTCCGCCGAGCGACCGGCACGCCACCTGGACGGCCTCGAAGGTACCGTCGGCCACCAGGTGGCAGCAACCGTGCGGGAGGGAGAACGACGACGGCGGACAGCTACACGTCTGCTCGCTCCGTGCCCCCGCCGCCAGGAGTGTCAGCCAGAGCAGGCGCGGGATGCTGAAACGGGTGTAAGTGAGCCACGGTGATACTGGCGAACTGAACCGAAGCTGTTTGTGTTAATGCAGTTTTGGTATGTTTAGACCAGCTCATGGGAATCTCATTGCATTTGAGACGCTGGAATGAACGTTGGCGGACGGAGCAATTTCAAGCCTTATGATGTATTCAACAGTATGAACTGGTGCAAGTTGCACTAATTGACGATGGGCTTCTTTATTGACTCCGGAGGTTCGAATCTGAAGTGCACAGCTACGAACAGGGCACTGCGTGCATATCATTCAAGCATAATCTATCGTGTCCTTTTTCTACACTTGTCTTAAAAACACGTTAATGTGACCTGTCATGATGAAATGGCGAAAGACGCTACCGAAGGATGTTGACTATACATGTCAACCACAAAAGATTCAACAGTTTAAGGTGGTGACCCAGGTGGTGGGGCCCATGCCAGCTACCTGTTTTATGGGGCTCTGGCGAGCTGCCTTATGCATAGACGGAGCGTGACGTGAGAATAACACCGCGGCTTCCACTGACCATAAAAAGTCCGCAAAACTAGTAGTATTTCGTTCCTTGTCTGCAGATACCAGTGCATAGTTCTTATTTACCGAAAGTGCTGCGGTTAGGACGTCAAAACAGAAAACCGAGATAGACAGCCGTAATCCCAGACAGGCGTGGCATCAACATGGCAGTGCAGTGTTCTAACCGGCGAAAAGCAGGCCTCTGCCACGGAGCTCGATGCGTCAAGCAAGTCTATGTGTATCACGCCCATCATCTGGATGCCATGATGGTAGTTCCGCCTAATATCACACCACCTTAAAAGAAGCGAAGACGCATCATTTCAGATAAACACCTGCAGAAGGTCTTGGACCTGTCCTCACATATGCCTCCGTGGACTTGGGTTGGCAAAACGGAAGTGTTGGAAGCCTAGAAGCATTCGTGGCTGACAGCACATGAACCGCAGCAATGACGGATGACATCCATATCCCCGAGGCGTCCGATCGCCCGCACATCGGCGATGGGAGCCTGAGGCTTGTAAACAAATGGCCGACACATAGATGCAGACGAATATGAGGGGTATCTCACGGACGGTTTTTTCCCCAACCAGCCGAGTTATGAGAAAGGGGCGGCCTGCTAATTTGCCACCGTTTGGAGTATCGAAAAGAGACTGAAATATCAGTTTTGAAACGCTCGGTCACTTTTCTTCTATCATTACACAACTTTGTAAAAATGCTGTTTTTGAAAGCTTTGGAATAATTCGGCTTTTAAACTCAAAGATGTGACAAAATCAGACCACTGCAGTGAAGCTGGCTTATCGTCAATATAGCACCATATTCTTTACTGACCGATGACGGGCATGCCGAGTTCGACCAGCGATGAGCTAAACACAGTGTTTGTCGCTTGGCGCGGCGTTTGAGCTTTTAGCTGTCGGGCATTTTGCGACGTGTGACACGCCTTTTTAAATGCGTGCATGGGGTTTTACTTATTCAAATGTTGAAACAGTGCGTGGCTCATGATAACGATCGCAAGCCTGCTAGCTGGTTTTAGCAGACAGAATACACATCTAAAAGTTAAGTATGCCTATTGTTTGCTTGTTTCTAAGTGACAAGATAAACTAGTTCTGTAAATTGCACATTAACACTACGACAAGCATGTGTCAATCGCACAAACGCTTACCTCATATTAAGCAGCATCATTTTCCAGAGGCCAGCGGTCGTACCCACAGTATGCTGAGCCTGTCCCTGCTCGGTCTGAGTGGTCAGGCCTGCTGAGGGCGTCGCTCGCTCCCTGACAGCATGTGAGACGAGCCCACGACGACCACGTCCGGATGCCCGGTCGCCAGAACAATGACGGCTTCCGTGCCAGGCACCTCTGTACCCGGGGTCTTGTTACGCGTCCGTAAACAGCCCAGCAGTTGAGCTTCGATGTGAGCGTGAGGATCCTCATCGCTTAGATGGAGATCACGTTAAGCTGTTAACGCTGTCAGTAGCGCTTAAATGGGACTATGGATTACTCGAAAAGTGTCAATGATGGGCGCAGATGCCTCTCATCGCATTGGTAGACAATACGATGATGTTTTGACAAGGCTAAAAATCCTCGAGGGAACCGAAACATAACGTCTAAGTGTTCTTTTATTTTAGCTTCATGTTACGGTGTAACGGAAAGCAATCGCACGACCCTACACAGCAGACACATGCTTCGATATGCATAGCCTTTTCAAGTGGAATGCACAACGTCATAGACTTTGCGAACGTGAATCCCGGCTAACACATGCATAGTACGCCGCGTAAAATGTCTTGACGCAATGGATTCTAGTGCGTCGAAAATCTCATATATTTTGTTCAAACTACAATTGCATTGCCAACATATAGGTGAGCCAGTTTTGTCCTAATGGGAAAGCCTTTCAAAAACCAATCAGACGTCTTTGTATACTTAGTCTCTACTGCTGGGGCGTCAGCGTTTTTCCATTCACAACCCAACTGTATACTACGAACCACCCCGCGATTCATTTTGAAAACGTGGCCACGGAAGTGATAAAACAAATGGACATTCTGAATTCAGCTTGGTCTCACTTTCCATTTACGTACCAGGTCGACTAGCGAGGTTGCGTTTTGGTGTTGCTTGCTATCCACGACATTGGCACGGATCTCGATAAATGGGACAACAACGTTAGAATTGGTGGAGTACTGATTCAGGCTATTGCACTGACATGCTGAGTGCTCTTTGGCTGGGTTGTGTGTGGGGGTGGGGGGAGGAGGGGAGGGGCGTAACTTGCGCTACTGAAACAGGAGACAAATAAGCACAGATTCGGTTTGTAGGAACGTCACCAATGCCAGATATATACAGGCTGGAAATGTCGCCGACTCCGACTGCACCACTTTTTGGCGATCTCGGTGCCGGAGAGTAAGCATTTTGTTCATATCCGGTATGACATGCCTGGGTCACGTCAGTTTATCGATGGCGAATGCGGTGTCCAAACAGTAGTTTTCGTGACAACCGCTAACAGCGCACGCTCATAGCATGCTGCGGTTTGCAGAAGCTCAGCAGAAGCTTGTGTGCTGCACAAAGTCGTCCCATGGGAATGTTTGCGAGTCGCCCCAAAAAGACGACAGAACGAAAGTAGGGCCATTAATGCGTTGCTCAAAGACCACTGCTCTGGTAAGATGTTACGCAGTGTAGTGCTCGAGCTTCGGAATAATTTGCTACTGAAAGTGGCCAAGTTTCGCCAAGATGAGTTGCGCCGCTTTCGTCGACTAACTTCAAATTTCCGCCGCATCGCTCACGCACATGGATCGTTAAATTTTCAGTGTTAGTGCATAAATTGCTATACAATGTCAGTATAAATTCAAGATATGACCACTCACTTCCATTACCCTCCTCCGGAGCTACGGAGGGAGCTGGCTGAGATTGCACGAGCCGTGTGCGCGCCCGGGAAGGGCATCCTGGCCGCCGACGAGTCGACCAGCACCGTCGGCAAGCGACTGAGCGGGAGTCGGCGTCGAGAACACAGAAGAGAACCGACGCGACTACCGCCAGCTGCTCTTCACCGCGCCGGACGAGATCAGCAACTACATATCGGGCGTCCTGCTCTACCACGAGACCGTCTACCAGACGGCCTCCGACGGCACGCCGATGATGGACCTGCTCAAGAGGAAGAACCTGATCCCTGGCATCAAGGTCGACAAGGGCGTCGTCCCGCTGATGGGGTCGGAGGCGGAGAGCACCACGCAGGGCCTGGACGACCTGGCCGAGCGCTGCAACCAGTACAAGAAGGACGGCTGCCAATTCGCCAAGTGGCGCTGCGTGCTCAAAATCGGCCAAAACACGCCAAGCTACCAGGCCATGTTGGAGAACGCCAACGTGCTGGCGCGCTACGCCTCCATCTGCCAGGCCTACGGCCTGGTACCGATCGTCGAGCCGGAGGTGCTGCCCGACGGCGACCACACCCTGGAGCGCGCGCAGAAGGTGACGGAGACCGTGCTGGCGTTCGTCTACAAGGCGCTGGCCGACCACCACGTGTACCTGGAGGGCACGCTGCTGAAGCCGAACATGGTGACGGCGGGGAAGGAGTGCCTGACGCCGTACCTGGCCAAGGACCAGGCGCGCGCCACCGTCACCTGCCTGATGCGGACCGTACCGCCGGCCGTGCCTGGAGTCACATTCCTGTCGGGCGGCCAGACCGAGGAGGAGGCCTCCGTCATGCTGTGCGAGGTCAACAAGGCGGCCGGCACCGATCGGCAGCCGTGGGCGCTCACCTTCAGCTTCGGCCGTGCCCTGCAGGCGTCTGTGCTGAGGGCGTGGTCGGGCAGGGAGGAGAATTCGCGGGCCGCCCAGCAGGAGCTGGTTAACCGCGCCCGGGCCAACAGCGAGGCCTCGCTGGGCAGTTACCAACCCGGCTCGTGCAAGGGCGCCGCCGCCCAGGCCGACCAGTTCGTCAAGAACCACGCCTACTGAACAGTACCTGGGTTAGCCGTTTGTAAAAAGCCGTCTGCTGAGCACAGCCCAGTTTCACCCATTTACCAAGTTTCGCGCCTGCTAAACAGTTCCCAGTTCGACCTGTTCGTGAAAACGACGCCTTCTGAACGGTTCCCAGTTTGACCTGTTCGTGAAAACGACGCCTTCTGAACGGTTCCCAGTTTGACCTGTTCGTGAAAGCGACGCCCCGTGAACGTCTCCCGACGTAACCTGTTTGTCAAGAATCACATCGCTGACCGCCGGCTAGTCTGGCGATTTTGTGATGAGCTGCTAAAGTCAGCTTTCCAAGAAGCTGGAAACCATGACACTTTGTTCGAAGTGAAAGGGCAACAGTGCGCTCCGGTTCGGTCACTTGTGCGGCATACGACTGGTTTGTTATGCGAAGATCGCGTGGATAGCGGGCTGACTGGAAGCAAACTCGCTCTCACGGGTGCAATCAGAACAAAAAGGGCAAACTACTTCCGGTTACGTCGCAAGGTTTATGTTACATTCAGGAGACGCCCACGATACAGGCGTTCACAGCTAAAATTGACAACGTGTTGCCACTTTTGTGAAAGCGTCACTCGCAGGTTACGTGCTCTGACGTACGTTATTAACTTCATAGTGTCACCTTTATTACAATACGTGATTGCTGATTACTGCCAGCGCAGACAAGCACCACTCCATTTGAACTCTTAATCGTGTTCGCACCTGAAATCCATCATCAGTGGTATTAATGTGGATGCCATGATTCGCATATTGTCGCTGAGGTTGCATTGGCATCGGCATACCATGAAGTGTGCTGACGTTGGCTACCAGCTGGTTCGGCTCACGCGAGACACCACGCAAAACAGACATCTGTGTCAATGGAGAAGATTACTGGATATGTACTGAAGTCGACCCTAGGTAAATCTACCGTGGATATCAATGGTCAAGGCTATACTGATCGGCTGCTTCGACTGCTTTATTTTGTATCGATACTCGGCAGAGTGTTTACGTTGCGTTCGTTTTTTTGCATCGGAATTCACCGTCGATATATAATCACATGTATTATGCTGGAGCTGTGAGCTTCGCCAAGCTGATTTTTACCTGAGGTGAGCTCGATCTGAGAGAACTGCTCAAACCGTCGCCGATCTGAGAGAACTGCTCAAACTGGTGCCGATCTGAGAAGACTGCTCAAACTGGTGCGCGGGAGCAACTGGCTCCTCACTATTGCATTGCCACTCAATCGTATTCATGGCTCAAGGTGAGGATGACATGAATGCAGCGTAAATGTCATGCCATGGATAATCAAGCATTCTTCCACTTGCTTTCTCTTTCAGGTCGCATTTTTTAATGTTTACCCAATGCGCACTTTTTCAATCAAATTTATGCTCAGTGTCTTCCGGCTCCGAAAACGTGTGATGTGGAAAGCACATTAATCAAGATTCTGCACTACTCATATCCTTGTTTACATTAACCGTGCTGGAAGCGAAGACAATCCGACAAGTAGTAAAGTGGATAAGCGTCTTTGATGTCCCACCCCGCAGTGCACGTCTCGTTAATGCTGAGTTGGGCTCGCCCCGCGCAGCGGTGGATGCAGCGGCCAGGACAACGCGCTGTCCCCATCCCAGAGCAGAGTCGTGCCGGACCACAAAGGCACTCCCGCTCGGTTTATCGCTCGAGTGTCTAATTAGAAAACAGTTTGAGAACAGTACTTGAGAGTCGTCCGCGTCCTCCGCAGCACTAAAGGGGAGCGAGAACCACTTTGGAGCGAGCACGGCGCGCCCGTCCAGGCCTGCCGCGGCCAAAAATTGGACGCTCGGTCCCTAATTGGAGCCGCTTTTGAATTTAAACAAGTGGATGGTTTTTTAATTGGAAAACTTATGAATGCAGGAAAGGAAGCGTTTTGGCAGACGGGACGAATAGATAATGATGTGGAGCTAAAACGGGTCTGAGTCGTGCCGCGGCATGTCGTTTTGGCCTCGGATTATGGGGAGCTGGTGCAGAAGGCGACATTATGGCGCTCCTGGTGCTCTGCACAACTAGCTGTCGTACGGTGATGTGACGCAGACGTTCTAATTGTAGGATGTTGCCAAATATGACAGGGAAGTGCCCTGGTATCAAAAATGTTCAATAGGACGGCATCAGACACCTGTGAAACGCAATCAAGCCAATCAGGTAAGCCTGAGACGTACTGTATTCAGACAGTCATGTTATCATAGGCTGCCGCATTCTTTTTTAGTCCGCTTTAGAGGGAGTGTTCCATATTTGTGCGAAGTTTTGAACTGAAATGCGCATCTTAAAGATAATCAGGTGCAATGCACACCCCTACACATCTTAAAGCCTAAAACCCCTTAGTTTCTGAGCTATGCGCTCGGAACCGCCCGGTCCTTTTTGCCAGTGGCTGTTTCTCTTCAATGTCTGATTTGGTTTTGCCTGCAAATCTTCCTTTTCTCAGTCTATCTTCCTCACCACTGTCGGAGACCAGGAAGGAGAAGCCTTCGCGATGTGTGTCTCCGTGTCTCTCGCCATCGTTCTGTGGCACAGACGCCTCCCTCCACACAGCCCTCCCGGCACCCACCGTCGCTGCCGGGCACGACTCTCTCTCCAGCGCCGGCCCCGACGCCCCGGGCGACAGCGCCCGTCGCACACGGCGTGTCCACGGGATCCACCGAGCGCCGATGGCTGCGGCTTTGATCGGGTGGCGGTCCCGGCGGCGGCGGCCGTCCTCCTGCGGGCCACGGTCGGGGGCTCGTTAGCGGTGCTTTGAACCGGCCGCAGATTGCCGCCTAACCGGCCCGCTCGCCGCGCAAAGCGGCCCTGTTTATGTCAATAGGCGGGTGATTGCCGGCTTTGTGAGGTTCGAGACGACAGCGCTAGCGCGCCGCTGCCGGTGCCGAGCCGCCCACTGGAGGAGGCGGCCGGCGCCGGAGAGCGCGGGATCACAGCCGAGACTAGCCGCTCAGTCGGCCTGCAGGAAAGGGCGGTGAGCGTTACACCGAGGTCGGCCGTGGCTCCTCACAGTACGGATGGGTGGCGATGAGGTCTGAGGTTCGCTCCGATAGCCCAGTCGGTTCGTGCGCCTGCCTTCCCATCCACCCAGCCGTAACGGGATTTGACGTGACGTGATGGGTTCGAGGTGCTTTAGGCGTTCGCTATTCGCCCCAGACTGCGATGGACTGCGTCCGGCGGCAACGGTCGCGTTAAAGGTCAGATTGTGGCAAAGACCAGAACAGAGCGTGCCAAGCATTGTGACACGTTGAGAGGTCGCCACAAGATTCCGCAGTTGACCCGGAGTTGGATGATCGGTTGGTAGGCTCAGGGCTCACGCAACAAGCACTGCTTAGTGTGGGAGCAGTTTCCAGAAAATCATTCAGTCAAAAGTTTCGTGCTTAATCTTGAAAAAAAATAGCATTGCCACTGACGGCACGTATATTCTACAACCGCGCGGTACTCTGTTCGTACATATATTTAGCCACACGGAAATGCATTAATCCATTCCACGTCGGTCGCGCATGCTTCCATTTTTGAGATCCACGTTTCGTTCATTCACGACACGTTCAACCACGCTGTGGCCATGAATGTTGCGACACCTCACGACCATTGCTGCGGGGAAAACAAACCCCAACAGGTTTTGGTCGCCTCTAAGGGTTATACAGACACCTGTTTGGCCTCAGCTTTACGCCGACTGTAGTCAGACAATGCATACGCGGCACGAGGGGCCCGATAACACCACATCTCAACACATGTCTAGCACGCTACGGCACGGCTAACCTACATAAAGCAGCAGGCCGCAGGCGGCCCTGCGCATCGCCGGACATGGAGCAGGTGATCTCTTGCGTCCATCTCTATCGTCTCTTTCATGAGACGGAAGTTTGACGTGGGCCCGTTCCATGTCCAGTGACAGTGCCCAGACCGTAACGCTATCACCCCTCTGATGGTGGCAGACCGGAAAATTTCACATCACGGTGTCCCAGTAAGTAACCGTTCACTGTTATACCATCGGCATCACAGTATTTCTCGGCATTTGCACGATCTTTCACCATGCGATGATCTGACACCATGCAGTCACTGCCCCGATGTCGCCTTGTCCTTCGCTGTCCCGATGATGTCCCGATGTCTCTCTGTCCTATGCTGCCCCGATGACGTCCCGATGCCCCTCTGTCCTCCGCTGTCCCGATGACGTCCCGATGTCCGTTGAAGAGTCGATCACGCCAGTTGCAATGCAGATCGAACGCGCCCCACGGATACTGAACAGGAGCTGACAGACATGTGATTCACTGGACAGAGATGAAACCGTCAGAAGTCATTGGAGTCGTCCAGTTCCATCAGGAGTCATTGGATGTAAATGAATCTTTCAGCGGTCAATGAGCGTTGATGAATTGTCACGAGTCGGGGCGCGTATCTGGAGTCGGGGCACCGGGCACGTATCTGTCAAGAGTCACTGAATACGTCTGTAGCTGTCAGAAGCAACTGTACGAGTCTAAAGCAATCAGAAATCACTGGGCTTGACTGAAGCTGTCGGGAGTCACTGGGTATAAGGGAAGCTGTCAGGAGTCACCGGCCATGACCGGAGCTGTCAGGAGTCACTGGGCATGACTAAAGCTGTCAGGAGTTTACTGGGCATGATTAAAGCTGTTAGGAGTCACTGGGAATAGCCGAAGCTGCCAGGAGTCACCGGCCATGAATGAAGCTGTCGGGAGTCACTGGGCGTGACAGAAACTGTCAGAAGTCACCGGGCGTGACTGCAGCTGTCAGAAGTCACTGAGCGTGACTGGAGCTGGGCGGCAGGAACTGCAGTCCGGGGAAGACGGCCTGAGGCGGCGACACCATGCAGCCCTGCGCGGCCGCCGCCGCCGCCGCCGCCGCCGCCGCCGACTGGATGTCCAGCAGCAGGCTGTGGTAGCCGCTGGCCGTCTTGTCACCAGCTGACGTCACGCCGGCGTGATGCCGCAGCTGCTCCAGCCGCAGCTGGTTCTGCCGCTTCCACTTCGTGCTGCGGTGAAGAGGAGAGGAGACTGAGATAGCGTGCCCGGGTCGGGGGGGGGGGGGGGGGAGGCAGGAGCGGCAGAGGCAAGATGCCGACAATGTGCTACTCACCCCTCTCCGCCCCCATCTCTGGAAAATGTCGTGGACCTTATTTCTTTGGTGTTGCACGAAAAAAAAACTGAGGACACCGCATTTTCCAGACCCGCCCACAGATAACCTAGCGGAGAAGGAATAGTTCTGAATCGTGTTTTTGGATCCCGCGGAAAAGAGAAGACCCAGATTTGTTAGCTTTATCAATATCCTATCCAACAGTCTTATTTACGTGGTGCAAGCTACCAATGGTTCGAAACTAATTGACACACTACTTAAAATATGTACACCGACCTTCACGTTGGGCGTGAGCAAAATGGCCAATCATTTGATTTAAATTACATACAAGTGCCTTGTAAGGCCTTTGACCTATGACAGGTCAGAGTCAGGCCATAGCTGTCAGCAAAGGCGGTTTTCTACGAAAGCGCTCAATCTGATGCGACAACGAATTGATAGACGAAGCCATAGATCTCTAAGTTAGCTTCTTACGTAATACAACGATTGAATTCAGGATTACAACAAAGTCCAATGACCATTGGTCAGGTATGAAGGTAAACTGAGACATAAATCAGGCCGCTTTTTTACTCGGCGGCTTTTGAATGGGATTGTTCCTGGTGCTCATTTCGAATTTATTGACAACAGGGACCACAGCAGACATCTTCCGTAGACTTCTTAAGGTCAGAGTAGATCACTGACCTGAAATGACCCAGGTCAACGTAATATTTTTAGGGAACATACCGCATAGTCTACCCATTTACACCGATTCAAATGAAAAAAATCAAACAATCTTCTAAGATTTTGGACCACATTTAATTCAAGTCATTCAAGATTACTAGCCTTTGATTACACTTTGACCTCTTGCTAAAAAAGGCATCTAGGTTCAAGGCGGTTGCATGAGGAGGTCTGGGGGCACTTTGGCCACCAATCTAGAGATTGGCCCTGTTTGATCTTATTTCACCCGAGGGTCATGACCCAGGAGTCTCGTTTTTTAATACGGGATCACATACAGGTCACAACTAAATTACTCCCGTGAATTTGGTGTCTTTAGCTGTTAAGTTTTGACATTTCAAAGGTTCAACTTGAACTGAATTAGTTAGTTGCTCCCCTTTCCAACGAATGGTATTCAGCCGGCCCCCAGGTGCACGTTAAAAGTCACATAAAATTTGCCCCAACACCGCTTATCACTTTCAGTTACACTGCGGAAATCCCCACGTACTTGCATACATATCCATGTATGCACCCCCCTCTTTATACGAACTTGGCACCGACTGCAATTTACAGTCAATTACAGCAACTAACAGGTAATCAGCTGGTGGTCTTGGATTAAAGGTCCCTTAGGTAAGCAAAATTTAAAAATTCTTGGAAAAAGTTATATAGGTCCAAAGATCTCATTTATGGTTAAATTCAGGCAGGTGAGGTGGTAAGATAAGCTTCGAGGATGGTGCGGAACCTACGGTAGGCATGACTCAACCGGCCCTTTGGCCCGTTTTTGGAAGGATGCTTTTTCTATTTCTTTAAACATTTATTTTCTCCCTCGGCCTTTATATCTACTAAAATGCAGCTTCTACCACACTCTTAATCATGTTCACTTAAATGACGATTTCCAACCAATAACACGATTTTACATTGCTTCGCTGAAAAAAAATGATGGCGCTAATGTTCTTTTTCAGCAATGGAGGGGACCCCCCCCCCCCCACTTCCGCCGCCCTTCCGCTGTCTCAACCACTCTCGTACCGGCTTAGTGGCACCACGTGTCAGTTTCAAGAGTGACGCTGTACCAGACCTCTGAACCTTACAAAGCATTTCAATCCTCAGCATAACCGAGAAGCGCGTGTGTTCCAGTTACGACCACGAGCTGATCCGCGCTTCGTATTCAGCCAACACCGCCCCTGTCATCGTTGGCCACGCGCTCACCGTCTGTTCTGGTACCATGTCTTGACCTGCGTCTCCGTCAGGGTGAGTGTGTCGGCCACCTCGGCTCTGTCGGCCACCGACAGGTACTTCTGAACCCGGAACCGCCGCTCCAGGAATGCCAGCTGACCGTGGCTGAAGGCCGTTCGTCGCCTGGCCAAAGCAGGGGTGCGCCGTCAGACATTGGGCTGAGGAGGCCGGCATCGCACAGCAGACGAGCGACGCTGGGTGGTGAGGGTGACATAGGGGCCCAAGAACACGCTCAGCAGCTGAGAGTACACGCTGTTGCCCGCCTCTCAACCTGGCAGGAAGGGCGGACACAGCGGGGAATCGCACCCCGTACCTCTGGCTTCCCAGACACCAAGCCCAAAACCTCAGAGACCATCAGCGCTAGCACGTAACTTGCAGGAACATAGTATGCGCGCAACAGCTTGTTTCGCTGAAGACGATTTGAGCTAGAGCATATCGCAACACATTTATTTGCACAATTAAATGACGTTGTTCAGGATGCTGAGAGGCGTTTAGCATCGAAATCCCAGTTTTTAGAACTGGAATCCCTGCTTTAAGATCCCAGCATTCGCAGGATTCGAATATGTTCGAACGCATTCGAGCTCGCGAATCCCAATCCTCAGCTCTATTAAGCACCACTCATTCTATCACTTCCTGGACAGCTTTCTATAGTGGTGACTGCAACACCCTCTGTCCCTCACTGAACCCCTGTGGATATTACGGACGATGCTTACATTCCATCTGCATCTCCCGTACCACCAGTGATATATATATATATATATATATATATATATATATATATATATATATGTATAGTTCCAAAGCGATTGATGAACAAGCTTGCCATTGATATCGTTCCATAAGCGAAAGGAAACTTTTATACCAAAAATACGCATACCTTGAATACGAACCACAGGCGTATGCATCAAATCAGACAAATGCATTCTTATTATGACGTTCTGGGTATCGTGCATGGACCTGTGCAGCTTGTCCTATTGCTATTGCGCTCCTCTTGCTGAAGGCGTCCGCAATGCATATCTCTCACAAGGTTTTCTTTAAAATTTGCGGTTTTGTGTTTCACCGTCATACGATATAAATGGAATGTTAAGACTGCTGATAAACATTGCTAATAAAAGTTGAGATCTTATTACCATGGTCAGAAATCCTCAGTTTCAGACGTAACAGCTAAGTGAAAAAATGAATGCACGTTATTACGAAGGTGGCTGATTCCTTTATGACGTAATACGGAATGACAATCGGTTACCTGAAATTTTGATAACAGTGTTTGAAGTTGGACGTGATTTCTACGCCCAGAGCCCAAAACAGTCTTGAGTTACCAAGTTTTTCATGCTACTTATGATAACATACTGTCACTGAAATCACATTGGCACAAGTTGCACACCTAGAGCTTTGCCCAGGAGGTGCCAGGAGGCAGACGTTATTCAAGCCCCATACGTGCCTACATAAAACTTGTAAACGTGCACCATCGTTTCCTCATAGCCAATATCCCCCAGGTCCAAATCCTCGAACCTCCAAGCGATAAAAGGTCCCATCCACTTCTTGCACAGAGGTTTACGCTCCAAACTCTACTGAAAGCTTGCCAAAAACGCTAGCGGTCTCAAAGTAAATGGGTGCCAATTTAGCAGAATTTAACGATGATTCCGTTAACTGCTTTCGATGTTAACAGAATGTTTTTTCACCACCATTATATTTATGTATTTTCAGAATACCATTCTACAGTCAGTTTTTTACACTACCAGGCGAGGTCGTCGCCTACGTCGGGGAACGAATGCCACTGGTGCGGGTTAGGCCTAATGAAGGCGTCCGGGGCACATAACAGATTCACACGTCTCAACAGGCTGAATATTCGTTGGAAAAGCATCTGGACGTCACCTTTACACCCACCCCTCACATCTTGTTTTCGCCTGTTTAGGGAGCTCCCAAACAGAAAGACAGCTGAGTAAATTTCCTGTGAGAAAACCGAACAAAGTTTAAGTCAAATGTGATATCCTGACATCATCTGAGCCATGACATGCCTGTTCTTTATTTGATTCTCGACGAATGTTTTGTGCTGCTGACACCACTTTAATATCGCCTTACGTGTGTGTTAAAGGGAGTGCGCCACCTTTGAAGGGTGTTTCAAAAACATGATTAGGTAAACTATCAGGAACGATCCTTGATGTAGACATCATTGGGGGGCAAAACAACGTCACCAACAGAATATCATGCGTAAAATAATGTTCTTCATTTTTTAGTTCGAACTACGAGGTCAACATTTTAGACCGTCACTGGACTTCTTTCTTCTTTAAGGCTTTTTTCTTATTCTTCTCGGATGGAATATGTATTAGGCAGGTGGAATTTTTCGAAGTAATTAAGCAAATACTTAGGTGTAGTATTGGTTAGTATGAATGCTGGAGGCACGGATCACAAGGCATTTAGATGTATATGAGTGAGACATTATTGTAACAGGAGGATCGAAATATCCACCAATGAGGAGTGTTGATGTGCTTGAATGCGGTAAAATAGGAACGCCAAGTCACTCGGCATGCCACCTTGTCTGATGTATTTTCTCTTAGTATATGGTTACATACACCCTTATGTGCTCAAGATGTGTTTCTATCTTAGATGATTTCCATATTATAAAAACCCCTTCTCCCCAGTGATTGCTCTCAAATTAAGCGGCTATGCTGAGCTAGGTGATTAATATGCAGTTCAGAAAGATCTGCGGGGATGAAATGTAAATTAAAGTTTTCGTCTTCACAGAGTGCTGTGCATGGATTGAAACATGTTTTCTTTTGGGTTTATTCGAGAGGCCAGCATTTTATGAAATACCACGATGTGTGCATGTCACTCGTACAAGCGCTAGAGAGAGATACATCACTGACATCGCGGAATTCGAAATCACGGGCTGCATTACCAACAAAATCACGAGGGTTTCGAAAAGCTCTTAGTGTGACCTTTTTTGATATCAGCCAAGATATCAGCTTCGTTTTTAGCAAGCGCTCTGATTAGCCACAATATTGACCAAAGTACCGTTTCCAGCCCAGTGTTAAGATGCACATGCGTTAGGCCGTTGTAAGCGTGGCTGTAGTAGTTGCGAGTGATATAAAACATATTTCTAACCTTCGCAAATGGCACCCAAAAGACTAAAAGCATGTACTAGTTAATCGACCCGCGAAGCCGATTCCCAAGCATCAGCTTGTGTACTCAGGGAAGCAACCCATCGGCCAGCTTGCCAGTCGGTTAGTCGTGATCACTGTGGCAGTTGCCTTGCAATGTACGCAAACGGTTAAACCCGGCATAATGAACACTTCATCTTACTGGCTATTAGCGCTATTATTGATTCTAGGCGCTTTTATTCGGACTGTGCAGTGCGGTATCAGAGCCGTCCAAGGAAATATTATTCCCTCAAATTATTCCAGGGATTTGCCTCCTCCTCCAGCAAAAGGGAATCACACCAGACTCCACGTTGAAGTATCTATACAATTCATTAACCTGCTGGAGATCGATGAACTGGGAGGGTCATTCCAGTATTCTTGTTTCTATCGTGTGTACTGGGCTGACACACGCCTTGCTGCTCAAAACGAATCTATTGGAGTCTCAAAAATCCCAGAGCATGTAGCACAGCGTATTTGGCGTCCGGATATCATCACTGAGAACGTGCGAATTGTAGAGAGGAATGGCATCATCAAACCGACCATCTTTAGCGGAAAACTGAGCGGCTATGACTTGTTCATCTCAACGTACCTAGCTATGACTGTTGGCTGTCAATTCCAATACCAAAGCTACCCCATGGACGTGCAAATTTGCAAAATTCACGTGACCAATATGGGAATGACGACCGATATCCTGGACCTGCAGTGGAGCGCCATGGGCTACACAATGTCAAGAGAAGCGTTCCTCAGTTACCAGGGTCTGTTCGATGTCAAGATATGTGAAGATTCCCGATCGCCGGTGCGCAAGTCAAGACTAGGAAACCATCCTCAGAAGACGCTGCTCCTGATACTAGAGCGCAATTACATGGCGTACGTGGTTCAGGTGTTCTTACCGAGCATCTTTTTTGTTCTCATTGCTTGGCTGAGCATCCTGATCCCGCCCACGATGCTGCGCACCCGCCTCCTGCTGAACAGCACCAACCTGCTGACTATACTCTCCATGTTCTTGGCCGTATCCAAGACGGAATCGGCCAGCATACCCAAGGTCAGCTACCTCACCGCACTCAACCTGTGGATGTTCGTCTGCGTAAGCTTCACCTTCACCTCCGTCCTGCTCGTGATCTTCGACATCCGGCTGATTTCCCTGCTCACGAACAGCGTCGGTAAGCTGCAGCCGATTAAGAGGGTGCTGCTGGACGTCTACCAGCAGTCGTCCGGCGGCAAAGGGCGCCGCGGCACCGAGTTCGCCGCCGAGCTGGACTACCTGGCGCATCTGCACCAGGCGGCCATCGAGGCCTCCGCCTCGGCGCGCGGCTCGGGCTCCTGGAGCGAGGACGGCTCGGACAAGCCGGAAGCCGCGCAGGACGACGACGGCGACCTGTTCGAGGACGCGTCCGGCGTCACGCCCGTGCCCAGCTTCGAAGCGCCGCGGCCCGGCCGGGTGGAGGTGCGCGTGCGCCGCAAGCGTCGCCTCTGGCTCGAGATGACCGCCTTCTACGAGCGGCTCTACCTGCTGGCCTTCCCAGCGCTGTTCGTGCTGTTTCTGATAGTGTTCGTCTCGTACTACCGGTGGACGCGGCACGTGCAGCTGGACTCGCTGATGGAGATCGTGGGGCGCGGGGAGAGCTTCTACCCGGGCTGCTGGTGCGCACGGGGCGACTCCTGGGCCGGCTGCATGCCAGAGAGCGAGTACGAGAAGCTGAAGTGAGGGGTGGCCGACCACTGCCGAGCCGACCGTGTCGCCCTGCTGACAGGGGCCGACGATTGCTGATGGCCGAGGGCCCGGTGCCGGCGGCCGACAGCGGCACGTCTTCCTGGACTGCCGTCACCTTCCTGACGTAAAGTTGCGTGTGTGGCGCGTGCAGTGGTCGCTCCTTGGTACAATCGCACGGCGTTATGTTAATCATACGCTGCACGGAGCAGGGCGCTTCACGGCTGCAATGCTGTCCAGAAATCGTGCAACTATTAGATGGGGCAAACAAGCCCACTCGAACTCAACTAGCAGAGTCCAAGGCAAGTCCAAGACAAAGCTTTCAACAAGCTTTCAAGTCCAAGACGAGCATGGTCATGCATTCATGAAGCTTCAACACTGATCCACTACTCAATGCATGGTGGTACGCTATTGGGCTGGCTGCGAAAGCAGTGCGAACATACTAAATACATTTCTACATGACCCTGTCCCTCCGCGTTTCCTGCTGCTCGGCGTCTGCTGCTGCTGTTTGTGGGGTCACGGGCGGCATCCGCAGCTGAACATCACGTGACCGACCTGCGTGGCCGTTTGGAGTGGAGGCTGTCCGTGCCGGCAGAGTTCCTGTCATCCCCACGTTTGTTCGTCGAGGCGGCATCCGTTTCCTCCTTGCACTCGTCTGTGAAGCGTCGAAACAGAACTGTAATCAACTCACAGCAACTGGATTACGGAACCGAGCACGGAGGACAAAATGCATGTCACCCAAGTCTTTTTGCAATAGTGGTATCTTAAAAGTATTTGAATGCGTCATTGCAGTTTTTGGTGCAGACTGGTGCGAGATATCGGTATCATGTTTTGTTGGGTATTTAGGGTTAAGTTAAATCATTTTTATCTGCTCAGCCGCCGAAGCTTTCTTGCAATATGGCGTACATGGGTCGTGGTCTCCCCGATCGGAAGCATATGGTTATGCAATGCATCCCTAAAAACATGCTTTTGGGCCGTCTTTGAACCTGAGCGCGGATACAGTGGTTGAAATGTGTCATCTTATCATGTTTTATCAGTATGTTTCATGAGAATGGCTTAATTGTCCATCCACTTTTTGTATAAGTTTAACATAAATTCTGCGAAACTCGTGGACTTAATGAAGTTTAAAAGTGCCTTGCCCGCTCAGTTTCCGGACGTCCCTCCTTTTTGCGCGCAGACTGTGGGGATGTAAGTTTGTCAACTGGAGCCCAGACTAATTAAGGACATGATGTGATGGGAGTGTAGGCATGAAAGAGGATTCATACCAGCGGCGATGATCCAATTAGTCGTCCAAAAGTTCGGTCAATGCCAGGTCTGCAAGCTTACAAGCGAAGCCAGGACATTATTCGATTCGTCTGGCTCACCACTTTATGCCGGCTGTGAAGCACAAGCCTCTCCGATGTTCCACCACGCTGCCGCCGAGGTCCTCAAGGGTATATTACGCACAATCTTGTGTTGATTATGTTTGTAGCAATGACAATATGCAAGCAAACGAAACGCGACGATATACGGCTTCCGACATGCCAGTCATAAAATGAGCGATTATCGCCTCAGCGAAGCAACTACAGTCACTCAATCCTCGATCGCGGTGATGATCAGGAACACGCAAACCAAGATCGATGTAGCTTACGTGGATTTATGAATATTTGTCCATTGAATAATCGTTTGCTAGCCGGAACGAACATGACATGGCTTGGAAAGGCTCCGAATCATGCCTTCATCCTCAGGGCCGACGACTTCAGAGCACTCCTGTGGCGACAGCTCCTTTTAAATGATACTCACTGAACGTCGCCGTGCGAACTATCACATCTGCATGAGAAGAGTCATTCTGTCAGCACGCGTGTCGCCCTGGCACGTGATCTCCCCAGCTGAGCAGGACCTGACCCCTGCTGGGCCACAGACCGGCCCACGTGCCGTCCCTGAGCGGGCCGTTCGAATTTAAACGGCTGACAGCCGGCCGGCCGGTCAAAAGTCCGCGCGTCGCACCTCTGGCGTCGCCGCCGCTGGCCCGCCGCCTCGCCGTCGCCGCGGCGCCCGTCTCGCGATGTCGCAGTGTCGCGGCGGAGGCCCGATTTTCCGGTCAATTTATGCGCCAATTAGGCGTGGCGCGGGCCTGGCGGCGGCGGGGGGCCCGTTTTGATTGAGACCGTCAGCGCGCGGCAGTTGATTCCGATTGTGACAGCTAACCCGTCATTACCACGTCAATGGGAAGTAAACTAGTTTGTCGAGGGGCCCCCGGCCGCGCGCCCAGCCGCACGCTGCGACGGAGGGGCGCAGGCCCGGCACCGGCGGCGTCGAGAGGAGGCGCCCGCGCGAGCAGGGACGCCCGCCAACGCTGCCCGCCTGGAATTCGCATTGGATTGTGAGTGGCCGCCGCGCTCAGTGGAATGCCTGCGTGTCAATGCGGTGGAACGAGTGTCCACTTGGCGCAGGGGCACAGTGCGGGACAGGTGGCTGGCCCGGAACACGGCCTGTCCGTCATCAGGGGAGCCAGGCTGCGCTGTGTCCAGCGACGACGGATCGTGAGACGAGACGGTGGGAGGGCGGACGCGGTTTGCTGCCGCTTTTTTCACGCAGTGCCACAGCGCCGATGCTAAAACTCCTCAGAGACGTGGCGGCTGCCTCCCTTTCGCATGTCTCTCCCACTTCCGTGCTCCTCTGCACGCGATTAGGGATGGGAGGAAGCTATGCTTTCGCAAGGAAGCTTAAGAGGGCAGAGGTGAGCGCGCTCGTGCGTCATTCTGTACGGGCAGCCTCCGCTAGAAATGTTCGGTGCGTCACCTTCAATAGGTGGATTATCCGTTGTGCCTAAGTAGGCAAACACTGGCTAGTGCTCAGAACGGGGCGCAGAGTGATTTGCACTTCGGACGCCTCTCATGCACAATGTTGTTTTTGCAGTGAATCGGTTTGTGAAACAGCCATATATTGACCATAGACCGGTGGCCACTGCCCACACCTTTCACGGGATGGCACACACATCTGAGTCCACTGTCAACCCCGTGCTGGGACGACCCCCACGTCCCGGTCCGCTTCGCCCCTCCGCTGGTGACGGCGCCCGGCCCACCGTCGGCCGCGCTGTCCCCTGCGGCCCCGCGGCGGGCCGCACCCAGCGCGCTGGCGCTGGCGCTGGCCGCGGGCCGGACCTCGGGTCGGCAGTTGATCTCGTTGCACTGGCTCTAGCGCTGGCGCTGGCGCTAGCCGCAGGCCGGACCTCGGGTCGACTGTTGATCTCGTTGCGCTGGCTCTAGCGCTGGCGCTGGCGCTGGCCGCGCGGCTGGACCGGATGATCTCGTTGCGCTGGCTCTGGCGCTGGCCCTGGCGCTGGTTCTGGCTCTGGCGCTGGTGCTGGCCGCGCGGCTGGACCTCGGGTTGGAAACTGATCTCTCGTTGTGCTGGCGCTGGCGCTGGCCGCACGGCTGGACCTCGGGTCGGCAGCTGATCTCGTTGTGCTGGCTCTGGCTCTGGCGCTGGCCGCGCGGCCGGACCTCGGGTCGGCAGCTGATCTCGTTGCCGGAGCCGGCTCGCTAACAGGGCGGGCAATCAGCCGGCGACCAGCGCCAATCGCTGCTTCGTTAGCGCAAACGAGGCGCCGATAATTGCAGGACGTCGCCTCGGCAAAACGAGCCGATCACTGTCACTAATGGCTGAGCCGGCGGAGGGGGGGGGGGGGGGGGGGACGCGAGGGGACGAGTCCGAGTTCGCGTCCGGAATCTGGCTGGATGTTAGCGGGGCGTATGACGGTGTTAAGCGACGTCAGTAAACTATCAGGAAGCAGCGCTGCCTTCAGCAATGTGCCTGGGGATATCAGGTGTCAACAGCTGTCCACGGGAGTGGTAATGCAAATCGAGTTTGGCACGTAACAGGCGCGTGGAATTTCTTACGTGCCGTTAAACAGCATTGCGGCCATTGAGTTTGTGTTTCCTAACATATATTGAAAAACAAATAATAGCCGCAACTCCGTGATTTCTCTGGTCAGAAACCACTTGTTTGCCACCACATTAGATGGTTTTATCATCCGGCACTGTTCTATAGGTCATGTTTTACCCAGCTAAATGCCTTTTACCTGCCATATTCATGTGACGTGTCTAACATTGGAGACCGAGATCATGTATACGTGATTTGGTCTTATCTTAGTCATATACCCCGCTTTATCCTGTAAATAGTCTTGTGCATACCAGCGCTGTGACGAAACACCCAGTTTTAACATAGGGCGGGGGACTTGAGGCTTTCACTGCAAGAACAACAGATTTGGGCGCTCATCATCAACGTTAGAGATGAACAACTGCCTTCAAGGAGGCTGTTTGCAAAATAAGTTGGAGAGGCTACGTAGAGGAGAATGGCTAAGCTTATCCACACAAAACGAAATTGGTTGCTATTCAGATTTAACCTTTAGTTTTCCTCTCCCAGGAGACGGGGGTGGGGGGGGGGGAGGGGGGCTGGAGGCCAATC